CCCGCCCCCCCGGTCCCCCCCCCCCAGTGTCCCACCACTACTGGTGTCCAACCACCACCTTCCACCACCACTGGTGTCTCACATCACCTTCCACCACCACCAGTGTCCCACCAGCACTCGTGTTCCCCTACCACCAGTGTCCCCCCACCACCTTCCACCATCAGCGGTGTCCCACCACCGCCACCGGTGTCCTACCACCACTGGTGTCCCACCACCACCTTGTACCACCCCCACGGTGTCCCACCACCACCAGTGTCCCACCACTGCCACCGGTGTCCCACCAGCACCTTCCACCACTGCCGGCATCCCACCACCACCGCCAGTGTCCCACCACCAGTGTCCCACCACCAGTGTCCCACCACCAGTGTCCCACCAGCGCCTTCCACCACCGGTGTCCCATCACCACCAGTGTCCCACCACCAGTGTCCCACCACCGCCACCAGTGTTCCACCGCCACCTTCCACCACCACTGGTGTCCCACCATCACCTTCCACCACCACCAGTGTGTCCCACCACCACTGGTGTTCCACCACAACCATCCCACCACCACAGCTGTTCCTCCACCACCTTCCACCATGACGTCCCACCACCTTCTCTCTTCTCCTCCCTCCAGGAGAACCCCAGCGAAGAGGACGCGGCCATCGTGGACAAGGTCCTCTCCATGAGGGTGGTGAAGAAGGAGGTGAGGGACCCTCGTGGTGGGTGGTGGGTGGGTCTTCTGCTGCCGTTGACGCCCCAACTTTGTTTCTTCTCAGCTTCCATCGGGACAGTTGACTGAGTCCGAGGAGTTTTTCGTCAAGTACAAGAACTAGTAGGTGGTGGGACGCGGTGGGACGGGCGCGGGATGTCCCGTCCGGGTGGGACAACCACTTTTGGGCGCCCACCACCCATTGGTGACCACCTCGTTGGGCCACTGAGCTTCTCCGTTGGCCACTGTGAGCCATCAGGGCTTGTTGAGGTCCCTCAACCGGTTGAGGTTCCTCAAGGAGTTCATTGAGGTCCCTCAACCGGTTGAGGTCCCTCAAGGAGTTGGTTGAGGTTTCTCAACCGGTTGAGGTTTCTCAAGGAGTTCGTTGAGGTCTCTCAGCTGGTTGAGGTTCCTCAAGGAGTTGGTTGAGGTTCTTCAACTGGTTGAGGTTCCTCAAGGAGTTCGTTGAGATCCCTCAACCGGTTGAGGTTCCTCAAGGAGCTCGTTGAGGTCCCTCAACCCATTGAGGTCCTTGAACGAGGTGGATTCTTCACCGGGGTGGGGCTTTGCCACCCGGAGGTGACACGTTGTCCCCCGTGTCTTCTCCTCAGCTCTTATCTCCACTGCGAGTGGGCCACCATCGACCAACTGGAGAAAGACAAGAGAATCCATCAGAAGCTGAAGAGGTTCAAGACGAAGATGACCCAGATGAGACATTTCTTCCACGAGGTGCTGGGTTGTGGGGAGGAGGAGGAGGGGGATCAGACCTTCGTGGTGGGGCTGAGGGTTGGAGAAGACCTCTCATGGTGGCTTTTTCGTCCTTAAAGGATGAAGAACCTTTTAACCCTGATTACGTCGAGGTGGACCGCATCTTGGACGAGTCCCACAGTGTCGACAAAGACAACGGGGAGGTGAGAACCTGGTGGTGGCGGCCCCCCAAAACGATGTGGTGGTCCTCCAAAAGCACGTGATGGCCCCCCAAACCACGTGGTGGCCCTCCAAAATGTGGTGGCCCCCCAAAACCACGTGGTGGCCCTCCAAAATCATGTGGTAGCCCTCCAAAACCATGTGGTGGCCCTCCAAAAATCACGTGGTAGCCCCTAAAACCATGTGGCGGCTCCCCAAAACAACGTGGTGGCCCTCTAAAACGTGGTAGTCCTCCAAAACCACATGGTGGTCCTCCAAAACGTGATGGGTCTCCAAAACAATGTCCTTTTTCGCCGGCACCCCTTTTTTTTTGGTTCTTGGTGTCTTCTGGCCATCCAAAACCACGTGGTGGCTCCCCAAAACCACGTGGTGGCCCCCCAAAACCATGTGGTGGTCGTCCAGACCACGTGGTGGCCCCCTAAAACAACATGGTGATCGTCCAAAATGACGTGGTAGATCCCCAAAACGATGTGATGGTCCCCCAGAACCACGTGGTGACCCTCCAAAGCGACATGGTGGCCCCCCAAAACACATGGTGGCCCCCTAAAACACCGTGGTGGCCCCCAAAACCACATGGTGGTCCTTCAAAACGTGGTGGCTCCTCAAAACGATGTTCGTCTTCACCGACACCCAGTTCTTTCTTGGTTCTTGATGTCCTCTGGCTTTCCAAAACCACGTGGTGGCCTTCCAAAACAACATGGTGGCCCCCCAAAACCACATGGTGGTCCTTCAAAACCACATGGTGGTTCTCCAAAACCACGTGGTGGTTCTCCAAAACGTGGTGGCCATCCAAAACCACGTGGTGGCCTCCCAAAACCACGTGGTGGTCCTTCAAAACCACATGGTGGTTCTCCAAAACCACGTGGTGGTTCTCCAAAACGTGGTGGCCATCCAAAACCACGTGGTGGCCTCCCAAAACCACGTGGTGGCCCCTCAAAACGACGTTCCTCTTCAGCGGCACCCCGTTTTTTTTTCGGTTCTCGGTGTCTTCTGGCCCACCCCACCCCAGCCGGTGGTCTACTACCTGGTGAAGTGGTGCTCCTTGCCCTACGAGGACAGCACGTGGGAGCTCAAGGAGGACGTGGACGAGGCGAAGATCGGTGACTTCAAACGCATCCAAGCCCGTCACCCCGACCTCAAACGCTTGGTGAGCCACCAAAGACCTTCTCCCACCTCCTCCAGTGTCCTTTCCCCACCCGTTTTCCGGTCGTTTCCATGTCTTCTCCATCTTCTGGCCACCAGCCACGGCCTCAAGCGGGTGCTTGGAAGAAGTTGGAGCTGTCCCACGAGTACAAGAACCACAACCAGCTCCGCGAGTATCAACTGGAAGGGGTCAACTGGTTGCTCTTCAACTGGTACAACAGGTCGGTGGTGGGGCGGGGTGGAGAAGGAGGGATGTGGTGGCCCCCCAAAACCACGTGGTGGCCCCCCAAAACCACGTGGTGGACCACCAAAACCATATGGTGGCGCTCCAAAATGACGTGGTGGTCTTCCAAAACCGTGTAGTGGCTCCCCAAAACGATGTGGTGGCCCTCCAAAACACATGGTGGCCCCCCAAAACTATGTGGTGGCCCTCCAAAATGATGTGGTGGTCTCCCAAAACCACGTGGTGGCTCTCGAAAATACATGGTGGCACCCCAAAACCACGTGGTGGTCCTACAAAAC